TGAAGTTTGTGCCTAAAAACGAGTGTGGGAAAATTCAGCATGCAAAAACATGAGGTGCTTCCCTGGCAGGGAGGGATCTTATGGTGCTTTCCTAAACCAGGACCACAGAGGAAATGATGATGTGGGAAAAGAAAACACAGAATGTGGAGTCTGCTGAGGTCTAATTCAGTGTTTCCATCCATCCATCCATCCATCCATCCATCCATCCATCCATCCATCCATCCATCCACGTATGTATGTATGTATGTATGTATGTATGTATGTATGTATCTATCTATCTATCTATCTACCTACCTACCTACCTACCTACCTATCTACCTATCTACATATCTACCTATCTACCTATCTATTTGAATTGTTGGGATTTTATGATGGAAATGTGGGTTTATCGGAGATAAGCTGAGTTTTGCTGGATCTATAGCAGGAAGTCAGTGATGTTTATTTGAATCACTCCACAGCATTTGTTTTTAAAAATTCATGGAGTTTTGTCATGACAATACTTCAGACTGGGAATATAAAGGAGAAAACCAACCATAATACTTGATGATGAAGTAAAGAAAACACTGTATGTTTTGTGTAGGGCAGCTGGTAACCGTCCTGAGAAGAGAAATGTGTAACCATGAATTGGTCCAGATGACATCCATCTTTGAGAATAAGGTAATTCATTACAGAATGTAATGGCTCAGTGGCAGTTGTTTATGGAAGTTAATGGAAATATGAGAGAAAGACAGAAAGCAAATAGGACATATCTTCAGAAAAAGAAGGGAAAAAAAGGAGAATAGAATCAGAATCACAGTCAATTACAATACAGTAAACCCACTTTTAAACCATTGCAAAATAATGAAATTATCATTAAAGCTCCACATCTACCTGGGGGATAAAGGAATAATGATCAACAAATGATGCAGACACCATGGTGCCAAGGTGGTATGTGTGACAAATATTCCTGAAATGAATTGATTGGGAACTAAAAATCCTGGGTGAACAGATTCAAATAATACAACTTGAAATGGAGATTTTTTTTTCGGAAGAAAGTGTTCCATGCTCTAAGGTTGCAATTTGGTTCTGTTACAGGTTTCCCAGTGTAAAACACTACACTGAATTTCAAGGCCTAAAGGCTGTCTGCCTCTGCAAGTAAAAAATATCTGAATGCCGGGGTGATGGATATGGAAAAGAATAGGAGTAGATTATAGAGTCTTACAAAATGATAGAGCAGCACAACAAATCAATGCGCTTTGGGGCTGCTGGTGAAGGTAAGTTATATCCTCCGACTGCACAGAATAACGGCTCTTTATGTAATCACACCTGGGATATGTCATTAAATTGCAATACCTCATTACCCGTCCTCACAAAACATGGAAGAGTTTCAGGGAATTCAGATCCGAAAAAGAAAAATGATCAGACTCTTGGAAAGAGTGATACACAAGGAGAGATTAAGTAGCTTAAATATATAGCTTATCTAATCGATAATTAAGCGAGGGAAGGATAATGGCTTGAAAATATGTAAGAGAAGGATAATTATTTTGCATGAAGCATGGTCCCAATTCAGCACAGTGTTAAAACACATGTGCAGATCCATCAGCCCTGCAAAACACCAATGTACATGATTTCAGTAGAGCTTGAGCACATACCTAAATTTAAGCATGCATTGAAGTACTTTGATTAATTTGGGCCATAACTGCAAGTAATGGTATGAAATTAAGAAATGCAAAAATGTAGGCTGAACACCAGGAAAATCTTCCAAACAGTGAGATATATGAGACTGGGGAGTAATCACTCAGGGGAATTGGTGGAAACCTTATCCCTGGACACATTTCAAGTTTTGCTGGACAAAGTACTGGGAAAATATCCTTTGGGGAATAATCTTGCTGTTGCCTCTGGAGACAACTGCACAACCTACTGCAACTATTCTGTGTCTTGAGTTTTTCTGGGCTGACTCACAGCATTAAGCCTGAGACATGATTTTAAAAAGCACCAACAGCGCAACAGGCTGGTGGCATTTCAAAGCTCTTCTTTGCCTTCCCCCACAATTTATCAGGCTTTTTCCATCTTCATTATATGCAATGCTATGAGTGGGAAATAAAAACCACACCACCACACTTTTAGCTTAGTGGGTTTTTTTCTTTTCTTTACTCGCTGACTAAACATTGATTTCATTTTCATCTCTGCATTAAAACAGAGCTTAAAGATATAGAGGAAATCTAATTTCAACTTGTAGGGCTTTGTTTCATCCCCAGAGCATGTGTGGTGAATGGTGAATATCATCTGAAAGGTAATTGTATCTTGAAGAATCTCATATCTCATATCTCTGAGCATCCCAGCAGAAGCAGTATTAAAGATTTGGTGGTTTTGCTAGTTTGGTGTGAGGTTTTTTGAGGGGTGGGGTTGTTTGGTTGGTTGATTTTGTCGAGTACTTTGGTTGTTGTTCTGCTTGTTTGTTTTGTTTTTTGTTTTTCCCCTCCACACAGACCCGGCAAGAAAGGCTGTTACAAAAACTTTCTGAAAGACGGAGCAGTAGATTCTCCTAGGGCTTTTTCCACTGGGAATAATAATTTTGGTGCACCAAAAGCAAGGTTCAAAGAACAATGACTTTTTAATTGCTTTGAAATCTACTTTTTCTTAAATCAAATGATTGTGGAAGGCTGTGCATTATTCACTTGGACATGTGGGGCTATTCTGCAGCCATGTAGGAAAAGGACAGGTGTTCTCTAACATGACTTTGCAGAGATATACTGGAAATGGAAATGGCCGAGACAGATGTGTTAAAAATTGTAGATTTCCCTTCCCTGACCACAGTCAATATTCTTCCTTTATTTTTGCAGTGTCAGTGAATGGTTCCTGATTTTATTATTGGGAAAACAGCACTTATGTTTATTGGTACTAATTTTCCACTGCACATCGATGCATCCAGAATAGCAGTTCTTAACTTTAAGTACACATTTCTGTGCCTGTCTTACTAGCAATTCATCTAGGAACACGTGTGAGCATCTTCCCGACTCATGGCCTGAGTTAACAAACAAGGTTACTTAATTCTTTTATCCCATTTAAAAGGATGGCCTTGCAAGGTCTCCATCATCAAGGATACTTAAGAGCTTGTTAAGTAAAAAGGTGAGCAGGATAATAAACTGAGTGGATCTTCCATTGGGTTGGATTAGGAGGCCTCATTTGGGCCCTACCAGCTCTCTTGGCTACAGTCGAAGCTGGGAGTGCAGCAGCAACTCCCCAAGCAGGTCTGGTCACTGGGCTAAAGTGTGGCATGTTGCATGTGTCAGCACTCAGGCAATTAGAAAACTATGATTTTCTAAAACTACTTTTTTTGTTCGTTTTATTGTAAAAGGAGCTTCATTTGTTTAGGTCCTTCTCTCAAACACTAAAAGCAAACAAACAGTTTGGTTTGTAAGGAAAGTCTTTAGCATGTTCCAGACAAGCACCATTATTTCTGGAGGTCCCAAGTAAGCATTTAAGATTACAAACGTTAACACAAAAGCAGGCTTCTTGTCCTCTTTCCTGGAGGTTCCTGACTCTCAGGAGACGAGGGTATTCATGTTTCCCACCCGCTGGGGGTGCCAGGGCAAGGACAGAGTGCGTCTTGCTGGCCCCGGCTGATGCCAGGCTGCCCTGAGCCCCATCGGCGTGCGGGGCAGCAGGGAGACCACCCCTGACCAGGAGGAGGGCACTGATGGGCTGATGGGTGGTGGACAACCAAGGCTGAGAGGCCAATGGTGAGCTGGGGAGTCCAGTGAGGAATGGGTCTGTGCTGGAAATACAGGCTGCAATTTGCTTTCTGGGAGGGCAGCGGTGGACAGAGCACCCAATCGGGGGAGACAGAACCACAGAGGCGATGGATCGGTGCCGCAAAGGCGGGCTGCAATTGGCTGCTTGGATGGGGACAAAATTCCAAGCGACCAATCGGGGCGTGGGAGATCCAGTGTGGAGCAGGTCCGTGCCCTGTGTGGCGGCTGCGATTGGCTGGCGGGCAGGGGAGCGGCGGGCAGAGTGTCCGAGCGGGCGGTGCGGGATCCCTTCGGGAGGGGGCTGCGGACAGGTGGTGGCAGAGGCTGCGGGGTAAGGGCCGGCCGCGGGGCAGCGCGGGCGCGGCGGTGCCGGTGCCGGTGGC